GCCTCCGATCCCGACCTGTGCAGAACATGTGAGTATGCTTGTCTGATATCAAAATCACACCTTCTGAAAATGTCACATAGGGTGGGAGTCGTCCAAAGATAAACGAAAAGTAGCAGAGCTCTTCAAGCCAGACACTCTGGACAAGGCATCAGAGAGAACTCTGCGATTCCTCCTCGAACAAATATCCAAAATTCTACCTCATGCAACTAATCTACACATTGTAGATATAGCCATGACATGGGCTAAACCTCTGTTCCAAAGTCCGCGGCCATCCAATGCAGAGGTTTGTCTAGTTCTATTCCATTAACGTAGACCGGATATTGAGTATCTACAGATCACAGCACTTTGTGTACTTTTCCGTCAAGCGTTGCTGTTGCACCGACATCTTTATGACGAACGTTGGACAGGGTTGTGGAATAGGTATTCCCGCAGAGGAGATACACCTCCGATGACTCCACGTTCTCCTGTTTCGTCACACCATACTGCAGTTGTTAGATCACCTCATTCTCGCCAAAACACATTGACCAACAAGATCTAACACCGATCAGACCATAGAGGATCCGAGATGTATATTCTTATCTAATATTGTTGGGACTCTTTATTGGTTTCTATGCTTGATATCTAGGGACTATAGCGATTAATATAGCACTTTTTTAATAGGATGCGGATTGGGAGGCAATGACCTAAGATTCTACGATGGGCGTATGTAGTACAGAGGCGTTCCATTTCCCGATCCATAGACTTGTATTGTTCTTCCTGTCCGCCAACTGCTGTCTATCATAAGTACCTGCATCAGTGGTACCTTTCCATTCCCCTTCGATCACTCGTTTTCCAGGAAGCTTTGGCACACATGATCTGGGGTGTACTTTCCAGCAGCTACATAGACACGAGCTTCCTCGGTTCTGGCGAGGAGTAGAGTTAGAGATTGCAGAAGGGCGTGGTGAGACTTGTCAAAGTATAATAGGTCTGACATAATAATTACATCGAAACCGTTCTCCGCTGCACCGACCCTACAGCCTGATTAGCGTTGGGATGAGCACCCCCAATGACCTGTTCAAATCTCGATGCAGAGAGTTTTGGTGTCTAATTGAGTCGTTAGCACAACGTTAAAGAATGCAAAAGATAATACATACCGCTGCGAAGTGAGCTGCTTCTTGCTCGTCCCAGTTGCAACCCTCTAATATCTTG